AAAAAAAAAAAAAAAAAAAAAAAATGTTCATCGAATCGCGAGAACCACCGTTCCCGCGTTTGTCGAATCTGGTCTAGCATACGCGTATATAAATTAACGCATTTGCGTATCTTTGTTTATACGCGTTTCAATGGGAAACGGTGTATAATTATAAATTAAGCGGCGTCGGTTTTTCGGATAGAAAGGAATATGCGTCCGATTCGGGCAAGAGGATCGGGGAGGGGAGGATCAGTCGATATATTATTCGATTAAAATTCGGTAAAATGGTCACAGTGGTCACGATGAATCCATTGACACGTTGAAAATAACGCGAAAACCCTTGACGATACACTTTCGAAACATTGAATTACATTTTAACCGTTCATAAAAACGAATTGAACATTTCCAGCACTATTCTGGGAAAGGGGAGCTCGAAAATGTTCGAAATAATCGTATATACGTATATATATCGTATATACGAATCCGATAGAAAACCGACAAAAAAAAGGTGAAGTAACAAAAAACAGCGGAAAGCTTTAAGAGAATTAAAAAAACTAGAAAAAAAAAAAGAAAAAACTAATCTCGAATAATGCACCCGTACCTCCAGGGGGCGGGTACGCGTGTTCGATCGTGGAATGGTATTTTTCATACAAATAGGCACTACACCGTCGAAAAGGAGAGAAAAAAGAGAGAGAGAATAGTTGCAAAAAAAATGGAAGGGAAAAAGAAAGGAAGAGAAGAAGAGAGAGAGAGAGAGAGAAAATAAAATAGTAGCGCTCGTTTAAACTCTGACATTTGGTGGTCCCCCGCTCTTAATCTCCGAAATCCTCGCGTATCCCCGGCAAGCGTTCGTTTGACAGGAAAATCCGTGAGGGGCAAGTTCCGTGAGATCGTGGACTTCGATCTGAAATCCGAACTTGGAGGTGACATTTCCGCTGTTCCGCCGGCGAAACAGCTGGGAGCAGAGGTGATGGTTAGGTAGGTAGGTAGGTAGTGCTCGTGTCGGTTGGCGCACAAGGAGACGGGAGAAAAATGGGGCCCTCCGGAAAAATCGATTCAAACTCTCTCCACGAGTACCTAAGCCACGCTTTAAAAAGCTAGTGAAAAATTGCCAGCGGTTTCCCTCTTTTATTTTGTTTCCCCATGCCCCCTCTAGCGCCGAGCCGTGCTTCCAACCCCCCTCCCCCTTGTCCACCGCCTGCCTGCCTTGCCCTCCTTCCATCCACTCCTCACCGCTTCTTCCTCGCCGCAGACCAAGGACCTTTTCTTCTCCACGCGTGGCCAACACTTTCCATCGAATTGCACGCACGCTTCTCGATCGATCCCACGATTTTAGGGCTCGATGATCGAAATGATTTAATTTGGGAGCAGTTTCGGGATGCGATTAAAATTGTGGCCGAGCGAGAATTTGTTAAAAAAATTGTTTCGAGTTATTGATGAGGCAAGTGTTGTTTATTGGAGGAGGGACACGAGTGCTTTTCACTTTTCAAGGTAAAAATTCTCTAATTATTTGGAAGAATTCTCGTATCCACACGTATATGCGCGAAGTTGAATCGTCACACACGGCGATCGTTTGTTAACCTCACCAACACCCGCATTTCTAAAACTTCTGCGTTTCAAACTTCGTAGTTGCGTACTCCTCTCTCGCATATTGTCACAATGCAGACAATGACATTTGAGTTTTTAAGCTTCTGGGGAGGGCTTTTTTTCAGATTTTTCCCTCCACGCGTATGTGCGTGCGTGTACGTGATATATCGTGGGGACGTGACTGGAGAAAATTAATAACAACGAGGGGAATTAGAGAAATACGAAAAATTTGGGAAAGGAATAAAATAAGCGAGAAGAGTTCTCCCTTATTATATCTTTACGAAAATAAAACTACGAATAAAACTACGAAAATTAAACTCTCGAAAAATTTGAAAAATCGATTAGATAGTTTGCGCGATTTTTCGAATTTTTTTATAAAATTATCAAATAC